TCAGTGGAGTTCAGGCTGAAGATGCTGCAGTTTATTACTGTCAGAGTTACCACGAAATAAACAGTCAAGCTGTGTTCACACAGTGAAAAACAGTCGTACAAAAACCTCCCTCAGTCAGACTGAACTGAAACTAAACCTTTAGTTGGAGCTGTGACAAGTGAAATAGATCATACAAAATGAACAATGACATGAAGTCCCCACACCATCACACACAGATAAACATATGCACTCAATATTGCATATGCATATATCTTTTTGACAGGTATAAATAACTCCATTTTGCATATTTCTCTAAACAAAATATCTGTCAGAATAATTCTGTTTCTGCAAACTAAAACATAACAGTTGACTTTTCAGTAATCTAAAAAACTTTTAAATGAATATGACATCAAGACAATAGAACAGATGGAATAAAGTTGGACAATATCTGATGTCTGAATAATTTTTTTTGTGTGTCTTATTCAAAGTTAAAATTTCAAGACAAAAAATCGTAACACATACATTTTAAATAAGTTGAAATATTCGTTTACTGAGAAAGAATTTATCTGAAATGCATTAACATAAGAGCTGTGGTCATGTGTGGCACATTTCTAAATTCAGAGCAGCTTGCAAAAATCTGACCAGAAAAACAAAAGTCTTTGAAAGCAATTGAAATAATGTTTTATGTAAAAAAAAATACAACAAGATACAACAGATAAGGTGTCATAATATAATGTTTAACTAATGTTTTAGTCCCTTATTCCTTTTTTGGCATCTGGAGAAAAGTGTGTGTATATATATTACTTAAGAGAAGCATCATTGTTTTGTTTTTTTAACAACAGTGATCATTTTGGTCTTTGGTGTAAAATGCTGAGCAGAGAGGAGGAAACATGCCGCCATGTGGAGGACAGCTCCAGCTGACTGACTCTGTGTTTGCATATGTGTCCTGCCTCTCTGGCCCCAGCACTTAAGAGGTCAGTGTGGATCAGAGTCTGTCCAGACCTTTCAGAGACTCTGACACCCCAACAGCTCAATGATGATGTCACTGACTCTGCTGCTGACCACCCTGGGGCTCCTTGTTCAGGGTCAGAAACAAGCAACACTAGATAAGCTCATTTGCTGTAAATATGTGAGAAGTTCTTTAGTTCTAGAGTTAAAATCTCTTTTCTTTCTCCAGGTTCATCAGCAGAAATCACTCTGACTCAGACTCCCGGATCTCAGTCAGTTTCTCCAAGACAAACGGTCTCCATCAAATGTAAATCCAGCAGACTTATAGGAGATGACATCAACTGGTATCTTCAGAAATCAGGAGAAGCTCCAAAGCTTCTGATTTCTGATACAACAGCACGTCAGTCTGGAGTTCCAGAGCGTTTTAGAGCAAAAGCAGCGCAGACTGACTTTACTCTGACAATCAGTGGAGTTGAGCCTGAAGATGCAGGAGTTTATTACTGTCAGCAGCATAACAGCTATCCGTTCACACAGTGAAACAACATCGTACAAAAACCTCCCAGCTGGAGAGGAACTGAAATCCCTTAACAGATGCCGAGAAAATAACACTGATCTTTAAATGACTGCACAGAGTTTAACTTCAAAGATGATAAATGATACATTATTTTAATAACTGGATCCTGCAGCAAGTTAATAAAATTATTTTAGTTTGCATTTGTTTCTTCTTATTTGAATCTCAGGTAATCACAATTGTCAATTA